ACATTTGGATTTTTTCATTTTCGATTTTGACCTTTGTTGACGTTTGTTGGCCTATATCTTTTGACCTATATTATGTAGGAGCTTTACATTTCGAACATAACGTAACATTCTGAATATCAATTAACCTATGCAAAAAAAATTGAAGTGGGCGTGGCACATTCGGGTTAAATTACTCATTATTGACATTTTTGGCCAGGGGCATAACTCGCAAAGTATACATTTGTTCAAAATGGAACTTTGCATACAATTACCTCATATATTGAGCCACTTTGTCTTAGAATTTCAATTGTTTTTGCTTCATAGTTCAAAAAAAGGAACAGGTTTTGGAATTTAAAAATTTTCAATTTTTGACCTTGACCTTTGTTGACCTTGACCTTTCTAACATCAAACGTCATTGGCATTGGCTATCTATTTATACTTTTATATTTGCCGTCCTATGTCTACTTCCGGTTTTATAGTCGTTAGCAATTTGAAATTTTGATGGCGTATATCTCTTGATCTTGACCTTTTTAGACCTTCTCCTTTACAAGATCAAAGGTCATTGACCTTGGCTATCTGCTGATACTTTCATTTGTGAGGTCTGACGTCCACTTCCGGTATTACAATCTTCTAAAAAATGAAAATTTCTCAACTTTAGACCGTTCTTGCGCTTGATCTAATTATCGTGGAAGGTTGATTTTTTCGGGGTCTTTTGCAATTTGCTACATTTGCAAAGTCCCACTCTGTGCCACGAGTGGCTCTAGTTATAAATTTGTTTCGGACAATTAGGTATTATAAAATGTGGTTTTTTTCAGGATATAGAATCCCTACCCACGTTCCTCGTCACGTGTACACTCTTCTCAGATAATTTATTCTTGAAGGTGCCACAGTTCAGTTAGATTTCAATTTCATTTTGTTAATGATTAACAAAATTATAACGAAACGAAAATGTATTCTGATTTTAATAAGGGCGTTAATCACCAGTACATCACTTGGTAGGCCGTTATAAACAACAAAATAAGAACACAACCAAATTGTAAACTCAAACGTAAATGTATTTGTTCTTAATGTTATTATTATTTTCATTTCCTTGGAACCGACATTTATATATATTTTCTATTTATTATACACTAGACACGTTCCGGATACAGAATATGGAATCCTGTGTTTTTATTTTTCAAAATATTCTATTTCACGGTTTTATTTTCCATCCAAATATCCTGTACTTTTCCAATTACACTACCGTATGTAAATGCCTTAAAGCACGTAGATTATATAAATACGTGTAGGCTACCGGAAAATCCGTATGTTTATTACAAACACGTTTTTATTTTATGTGCCATATGTCAGCTGTGAGAGCTCGATATATTGTACTATTTTTAATTAAACTAATATCTATATGACGATAACAATATTAATACAGAAAATAAGATTATAATTTCGTTCCTTTTTCTGATATTCTCCATTATAATCTGACAAGATTTCTATCGCAGTTCCGTTCTTTTGCCATTATTTTTAACCAATCATTGCGTGCCATGTAGGACCTAATTTGATGTTTCTAAGCTGTAATGATAAGTTGGGTGTATTCCTTTAAGGTGACGGGTAATAGATCTATATCAATTACGAATACCGCTTTAATTTGTCATGTCTGACCTCACCCTTTTGACTTAAAACTTTGTCAATTATTTACGCCTAGCTCCTACTCAGTTGTTGGGCGAGAATATTCTGCGGGTT